AGATTTTTAACACCCTTTGAGGGAAAAAATGCTTCCTACTTTCACTCTTAGATGGTCTGGTTCTACGTGTTAGAATATCCTGCTTGATTTGCATTCCCCCAACACAGGAAATAGCTTTCTGCATATACTCTATCAAATCCCTTTATCGCCCTGAAAACCTCCATAAAATCAGCCCTCAATCTTCCAAACTCGAGGGAATACAATCCAAGTTTAAGCAGCCTTTCTCGTAACTTAACCCCTTTTGGCACAGTAACATTCTGGTGAATCTGCGCTGCAGCACTTCCAAAGCTAATGAATATTTCCTGTAGTGTGGTGCCCAAAACTGAACGCAACAACAACAAAACTACTTTTACAGAGTGCCTTTTACGTCGTTATCTTTACTAATTGAAGTGTCCTGCTTCTCCCAGTCTATGTGAAAAATAAAATCTCCCATTATAACCACGTTGTTTTTGTACATACCACCCTGATTTCCGTATTTATATATTGTGAACTGAAACCCATAACTCTGACTCCAAGACAAGAGGGACACAAACTGAGCTGAACAAACAAGGGGTAAACAATCTGAATTACATTGTTAATAATAATAATAATAGCAATAATCCTTGATTTGATATAACGCTTTTCACGTCTGCTAGACGTCCGAAAGTGCTTCACAGAATATACTGCAAAGTGAATTGACTTATACTTGTGGACAAACGCAGCAGTCAATTGCGCACAGCAGTATCCCGCAAACAGTCATGGATTGAAAATGACCGATTGAACAGTCATGGATTGAAAATGACCGGCGTGTGGAGTAAGGAAACTTGCCCAAGGTTCCGCGCCGCCTGGATTTGAAATCAGATCAGAACATTCAAACAATCGTAGATTTTCAGGGCATTATATGATGAATGTGTGACTTCTTGTGGGAAAGATCATTCCAAAGTAATATTTGCTGAAATGATTTAAGAATTAAATAAGAATCATTCCCCTCACTCCTCATCTCCCTTCTCCCATCTTCCTTCCTCTGCATACTATCCCTCCCTTCTATCCTCCCCCCTTCATACTCGCATCTTGTCGTCCCTCCATACTCAGTTCTCACCTCCATATTCCCCTCCCCCCTCCGTACGCCCCTCCCCACTCCATAAGCCCCGTCCCCTCCATACGCACCTGTCCCCTCCATACACACCTGTCCCCTCCATACACACCTGTCCCCTCCGTATTCCCACATCCCCTGCATACTCCCCTCCCCATTCCATACACCCCTCCATAGTCCCCTCTCCCCTCCAAACTCCCCTCTCCATACACCCTCTCCCCTCCATACTCCCCTCTCCCCTCCATACTGCCCTCTCTCCTGCATACTCCCCTCTCCCCTGCATACTCCCCTATATGTTCCCCTCTACCCTCTATGCTCCCCTCTCCCCTCCATATGCCCCTCACCCCTTCTTACGCCGTTTACCCCTCCATAATCCCCTCTCTCCTCCATAATCCCTCTCACCTCTATAATGCTGTCTCGCTTCTATGTTCCCCTTCGCCTCTCCCCTGCATACCGCCTCTCCCGTTCATATTCATCTCTCCTCTCTCCTCCATGCTCCCCTCCATGCTGCCCTCCATGCTCCCTCCGTGCTCCCCTCAATGCTCCCCTCGCAACTCCATTCTCCCCTCAATGGTCCCCTCCATGATCCTTTCGCCGCTCTATGCTCCCCTCTCCGCTCCATGTTCCCATCTAGGCTCCACACCACACTGTATGCTCCCCTCTTCCCAGCAAGCTTACCTGAACCCTGCAAGCTTCCCTCTCCCGTGCATGATTACCTGTCTCCTCCATGCTCCCCTCTCCGCTCCATGCTCCCCAACCCACTTCATACTCCCTTCCCCACTCCATACTCCCCTCTCCCCACTCCATAATCCACTCTGCCCACCATACACCCCTCTCCCCAACATACTCCTCTCTCCACTCCAATCTTCGCTCCCTCCTCCCACATCCTCCTTCCCCTCTCCTTGTTTGTATTTTCTGGATATCATCAGTAAATGGTAAACTGTGTATTTCAGAAGTGATTGACTGGTTTGTATGTTGTCCCTGTCACATACCTTTTAGATCACTGGAGACGTCTGATACACTTCGGTCAATGGTCACTTCATGCACTAGTCTGGCACCTGTTTGAATAGAGTTAATATTATTAAATTGAAGGGATGGTGTCTCAGTTAGATGTGAATGGAAGCACAGAGAAACATCACACATTACCTTGTTGCTGTATTTCCGTCATGATTTTGTTCAGTTTGGGCAACGTTGGCCTCATTTTCACAAAGGATTCCCACATCACTCTCCAGGCCTCGGAACCTTTCACAATCACCAGATTCAGAAGAAATTTGGAGCTTTGTCTCCTCTGCCCACTGTGTGTGTGCTCGATGAGTTTCTGCGTAGAGTGAGCATTAATGTATTGAAGATGATGTGAAACATGAACAGTGACAATGATCAGCAATACCGAGCTCCATTGACGGTTTTGCTGGACTTGCTTTCTCTTCCATCCACAAACTGCTTTCCTCTGTGACCACGACTTTTAACATCTGCCCTCCCCGACACTTGCCAAATCCAGCTCGGGCTCTAACTTCAACTGTCCAGTGCCTTTTACTTCCTCGCCATGTGAATGGTGTTAAAAAAATGCAAGCTTTTGTTCTCAGTTTTTTGGCCGTACAGACACCTCTTACACTGCGCTGCACTGATCCATGACATACATATAGCGCATGTCCTGTATTTTAACATAACTGGTTGCATAAGCTGTTTGTTGCTATCTGTTGAATTTATGAAAAAAGCAGCACATGAGCCGTGCAGACTGACTTGATGAAATTTTAACAAATGAAAGGGAGTGTTACAGTCTAACTCAAACCTACTTTGTGCTCATGGGGGCTGAAACATTTCTTCTGTCTGAGCCCTGAGCTGATGTCCTCCACGCCTTCTTCAATGGCCTGTTCTAATCTGTCCCGGTAGAACTTTGTCAGTCTGTGCAGCTGGTAATCGTCGTACAGAGCCAGAGTCTCGATGAATGATGTATTTGTACCTGTTAGCAACCAATAAAAACGTTAGTCAGACATTATTTGACTCTTGTTCCTCGAAACATGTTTCGGAAAATATAACTATGTTGATCGTTACAAAAGTCCTGAATAAACAGTTGGCCGAAAACATCATTTAGTAGCTGACATCAGACACCTGTCAGCCTGGCTCAGTTGGTATGACTCTCGCCACTGAGACAGAGGTTTGTGGCTCAATCTCCACATATGGATTTTGTCCTCATAGACCAGCCTGACAATCCCCTGCAGGAATCCTCGCTGGTTCTTTTGCCAATTATCTTAAATCTGTGTCCGCTGGTTACCGATCTACCCTCCAGAGGAAAGAGTTTCTCCAGCTCTACTCGATCAAAACCCTTCTTAATTGTGAACATCTCTCATTGATCTATTAAGTTGAATACATTCATACTAGAGTCAGAAGCTTTCAGGTTAAAGCCCCACAGTGGGAATTGGAATTCCTATCCTCTCTAGGCAACAGGTGTGGGGGTTTAGCAAGTTGGAAACGTAGGGAGGTGCAGGGACATACAGGGATTTAAAAACGAGGGAGAGGATTTGAAAGTCGATCCTTTCGGAAATTGGGAGCTAGTGCAGCCTGGCAAGAACTGAAGTGATTTGGATCCTTTCTTTTCTGTGGTTTAGCATCCGGATGGCGGAGTTAATACTACTACTAATATTAATAATCGTTGAATTTGATATAGCGCTTTTCACATCGGGAGGACGTCCCAAAGCGCTTCACAGAACACACGGTAAAGTGAATTGACTGTATATTTGTGGGCAAACGCGGCAGCCAATTGCGCACAGCAATGTCCCACAAACAGTCGTAGATTGAAAATGACCAATTTATTATTGTTTTTGGTTTTGGAGGGATTATTATTAGGCTCTGTGTGGAGTAAGGAAACTTGCCCAAGATTTCGCCCTCTGCCTGGAATTGAACTCAGGTCTCTTGCTTGCAAAGCGAGTGCTCTTACCACTGAGCTACAGGACTCCAATAATGAAATATTGTTTATGGTGGAAGTAAGGAGACCAGCAGGGAGGGCATTCGAAATGTCCAGACGAGAGGTGGCAAAGGCGTGGATGAGGGTTTTGTCTGCTGCGGATGTGAGGTACGAACAGAGGCGGGTAATGTGGCAGAGGTGGAAAAACAAACTGTCCTAGTCAGGGAACGGATGTGGCGACGAAAAGAAGGCTACGGAGAGAACCTGACACCTAGTTTGCGCACGGGTAAGGTGTGTTTGTGGGAGAGCCCGAGGAGTTTGAGGTGTTCGGAGCCACATGAAAGAAGACGTTGGCGGGAGCCAAAGTGTATGGCTTGGAAGGATGGATGGATCTTGCTGACGTTCAGCTGCAGGAAGTTTGCACTCATCCACGCCATGATGCCCGTCACACAAACTGACAAAGCATTAGGGGACTGGGAGTTGCAGCTGGAGTTGAAGGAGGAAGCGGTGAAGTAGATTTGTCTATCATACATGTGGGCTGTGTTCACTTTACACACAATGGCTTTGGTTTGCAACTTTAGCAGGAGCTGATTTTGAAGCATATTATCCCCCAGGAATGATCTTCCACCACAAGACCTAACCATGTGCCGGTCAGGCTGGTATGTCACTGCAAGGCCTGCCCATGTGGCAGGTTGGATGTATTTTCACTGCAAAACCTGCCCACGGGTCAGTCAGTGTGGTCTGTCATCATCAGCGATTGGTTCATGAACCGTCCAACATGTCCCTGATCTTCCATTTCACAAATTGGGAACTTGCTCAACCCCAATAGATATTGACTGATCTTTCCTTTCCAAAGTGTGTGAGATGACTATACGTGATTTTGTTTAAAAGTACTTAATAAGCCCATTACATTTGTTCATCATCATCCCTTTAAAATTTTCCTCAAATTCAGTTAAAGAGAAGCCATTACCTGTTGCTGTTTCGCAGGGGGCTTGATCCACATCTCGAGTCATTCCATTGCCCTCTGCACTGGCATTTGGTTCAGTCTCCGTGGAGGCCATCTCACTCCAATCTCCCAAAGTGGTGGAACCGATTCACAACGTAGTTGGGCAACACCAGATGTGGTCGCTGTTTCAGTCCTGCCAGATGTACACATGCTAAGTACTGGTGATGGTGACCATTTAATTGAATCATCTGTTTTCTCGTGGTTCTGTGTCTCAGAAATATGTTTCCCTTTTCCCAACAATGTTCAAAAATCCCCTCAATTGCTGCTAAGTGCAGCCTAGTTTGTAAGATTTGCGACAGGTGCTGAGCGTTTTTAACAGTTGCAAGACTAACAGGGAATCCAGACGTGATCTCTCAGGCAAAAACACCAGTTTAGCATTTCTAATGGACTGTCCTTCTTTCTCACAATTAACATTTATCCTACAACGAAATAAATTGCAAGAGTATCGTCATGATAAATTCAGCAATTAAGTATATTCAGGTGTCTTACTCAATTGTAGTTAGGCGTAAATGTACTGACGTTTCTTGCATTTGCTTTCTTTCAAGTTAGGAAGATGTCTCAAAACACTTCCCCGCTTACGGCGAATTATAGTGAATCTGTATTTTGTAGGTGAATACAGCAGCAAATTTCACAGAATCATAGGAAACAGAAGGAGGCCATACAGACGATTTCGTCTTTGAAAAGATCTACCCAAATCAAAGCCACTCCCCCGCTCTCTCCCCATAGCCATGCAAATTTGTCCTCCCCAAATAATTATCTACTTCTCTCTACTTCTCTAGAATCGGCTTCCTCCACCCTTTCAGGCAATGTATTCCAGATCCGAACAAAATTCTCCTCCCCTCCCCGCTGCTTCTTTTAACAATTATTTTAAATTGGTGTCCTCAGGTTACGACCCACCCGTCAGTGAAAATTGTTTCTCCACTATCGAATCATTTCATCATTTTGAAAACTTCTATTAATTCTCCACTAAACCTTCTCTGTTCCAAGGAGAATAATCCTAGCTTCTGTAGCCTCTCCTGATAACTGAAGTCCATCATTCCTGGTCTCCTGCTGTAAATCTCCTTTGCACCCTCTCCAATCCATTGACATCCTTCCTAAAGTGTGGTGCTCATCACTCATCACAATCTCTAGCTGAGGCCTAACCATTGTTTAATAAATGTTCATCATAACTTCTTGTCTTTGTATACTATGCCCCTATTTATCAAGCCTAGTATGCTGTATGCTTTCCTAACAGCATTATATACCTGTCCTGCCAGTTTCAAAGATTTACTTATATGAACCCCAGTCTCTTTTTTCTTTCACCACCTTTAAAATTCTACCATCTATTTTATATTGCCCCTCCTCATTCTTCCTCCCAAAATGTATTACTTCACATTTCTCCACAGTAAGATGTATACGTCACGTGTCTGCCCATTTGACCAGTCTATGTGTCCTTATATTCAGCTACGATCCTCCTCACTGTTTGCTACCTTTCCGAGCTAAGTCTCAACTGGAAATTTGGAAATTATACTCCTACACCAAAGTCCAGGTTATTTATGTAGATCAGAAACAGCAGTGGATCCAATACCGACCCATGGGGGATACCGGTGAACACATCTCTCTCAGCTTTCTGTCTCCAAGCCAGTTCTGTATCAATGCTACTGCTGTGCATTTGATACCGTGGGGTTCCATTTTGCTTAAAAGTTTCTTATGTGGCACTTTACCGAACTCCTTTGAGAATCCATATAAACTACATCAACTGCACTACCTTCATCCACACTCTCCAATCGTTCATCAAAAGACTCTATCGGGTTCTTCAGGTCCGATTTGTCTTTAATAAACCAATGTTGACTGTCCTTTATTAACCCATACTTTACTAAGAGAAATGTTATATTATCCCGGATTATAGTCTCCAGACGTTTCCCTCCCACTGACGTCAGTGTGACTGGCCTTGTTTAACATTCTTTCCCGGGTTTTTCCTGGCATTCACGCTTACCCAGTCCAGCTCCATGCCACCCGCAGAGACAAAAACACACACTTCTCCAGATCAGCCCCATGCCACCAACACATATTTCCTCAACTGAGCACCATGTCATCAATAATAATAATAATAATCCTTGCATTTAATATAGCGCTTTTCATATCGGGAGATCGTCCCAAAGCGCTTCACAGAACAAACTGTTAAGTGAATTGACTGCATATTTGTGGGCGAACGCGGCAGCCAATTGCGCACAGCAATGTCCCATCAACAGTCGTAGATTGAAAATGAACAATTTATTATTGTTTTTGGTTTTGGAGGGATTATTATTAAGCTCTGTGTGGAGTAAGGAAACGTGCCCAAGGTTTCGCCCTCTGCCTGCAATTGTACTCACGTCTCTCACTTGTAAAGCGAGTGCTCTAACCACTGAGCTACAGGTCTGCACTAATCAACACTGATACACATTCACATCTATAACCCAGCATCTTGCCACCAACACTGACACAGTCACACTTTACCAGCTCAGCCCTATGCTACCAACACTGACACACGCAGAAATGTCTAGCTCAGCACCATGTAACCAACTCTGACACACCCAATTCCCCAACTCAGCCCCATGCCACAGACACGAACGCACACTTCACCAACTAAACTGCATGGCACAGACACTGACACACACTTCACCAGCAAAGCCCCATAGTATCCTCAACAACACTAAACCACACACACTTCACCAGCTCAGCACCATGGTGCCCTCACCAACACTGACACCAACACACTTCACAGCTCAGCCCATGGTGCCATCACCAACACTGACACACACATCACCAGCTCAGCTCCATGTCACCAACAATGACATACACAAACTCCATCAGCTCAGGCCCGTGGTATCGTCACCAACGCTGACACACAAAGATAACCAACTCAGCTCCATGTTATCAACAATGACACACATATACCCAACAACTAACCCCCAAGTCACAACACTGACACAGACAAACACTTCACCAGCTCAGCCCCATACCACCAACACCGACACACACACACCCTTCAACTCAGTCCCATGCCACCAACACTGACAAACACACACATACTTCACCAGCCAGGTTGTCACATGTTGAACCTGGATATCCCACTCCACACTACCATTGCCTACAGTTCCCATGCCCCTAACTCTTGTCCTCTCTCTCTTTCTTTCTTTAAATCCATTTCAGACTTTCTCTCTCTGCTGTTGAGTCCACCTCAAATCCTCGTGGAGTCCTGTAGCTCAGTGGTTAGAGCATTCGCTTTGCAAGCGGGAGACCTGAGTTCAATTCCAGGCAGCGGGCGAAACCTTGGGCAAGTTTCCTTACTCCACACAGAGCCTAATAATAATCCCTCCAAAAAAAAACAAAAAAAAATTGGTCATTTCAATCTACGACTGTTCGTGGGACACTGCTGTGCGCAATTGGCTGCCGCGTTCACCCACAAATTTCTAGTCAATTCACTTTACAGTGTGTTCTGTGAAGCGCTTTGGGATGTCCTCCCGACGTGAAAAGCGCTATATCAAATGCAAGGATTATTATTATTATTATTATTATTATTATTACTTGTACTTGTGCATGCATCACCCCCCTCCGCCCCCACTCTGCATTTTGTGAAATCTAACAGCTTCTTCTCCTTCCTCCACACAAACACATCAGAGCTTCTTCTTGAAACTTCTACTTTTCACCATCTACATGCTCCCCTCTGTTGACATAATCCAGAGACGTGGATAGCACTGACATATGATATGGAGGAAACACAACTCTACTCTCCACCATAGACTCGGGTACCATTACTGCTCTAACTGTAAGACATCAAATGCTGATTGATATCTATCTATCTTCAGTTGAATATTGTCAAGAGGGAGGCTCACCTGTTTGAGTCCTGACAGTGCCTACTGACCCTGGGTATTGACGGCATCAATCTGCATCAAAGCTAAATTCACGTTTCTGAGCCAATGAGAAGAACATTGTCTTATTGCACCTTAACTGTCCTTTAATCCGTGTAACCTGGCTCTCACTCATTCTTGGATTTCGGTCAACTCTATAATATTGCTTACCTGCAGCTACACATCTTACACCCCCTCCCCTGGGGTGTCCAAGTACATATATACATCTTTATTATATTGGGGCCAGGCTTTATGAACACTTACTCAATGGCATTCAAAAACGTCTCTACTCAAACTGCAGACCTTAAAAAATGGCAGCTTTCTTGCGATCCTGCACCAGGCACTATATCTGTATCATTATGTCCTCCCGACACGAATGGCGCTGTACAAATGTGATCTTGTATTGCACTACCATTATCATCTCGCTCCACTCGTTCCTGTAGCATTTGGTTTGGTTGCCGGGTGTCTGGCACATGTACAAAATCATCACGGTGATTGAGGATATCCAAACCAGACAGAGAATGCTTCCGCCCACCAACATATCCAACACGCTTTGCTTAGAATGGAATGGCCCAGAGGCATATCTACTTTTAAACTTATCCCTGAAAGTATTAAACACAAATTGGCAAGAGTCAAAGCGTTGGTACCTCATTGGGTATGGTTATGGATAGGGGACATTGATGGAGTTTACCCAGCTCAAAATGTGTGGCTTGAATTTAGAGCACTGTTTAGAAAGCTTTTCTTACAGATTCAATTCAGATCCGTGTCCCCTTGTTTACATCTCTGCATGGATCGTCCATTCTATCTCTGTGATATTTTTCAAACCCATTGCACCAGCTGCTCTGTCCATTATGGCTCATGTACACTCTATGTCCTATGCCTGATGCTCCCGAACATCAATGGACAAGCTTTCATCTCCTCTTTCCCAAGTCTCGAACTCTACTCCTGAGTCGATTGGCATTGCACCTCTGACAACGCAAAACACCCCAAGTACTGCATTGGATTCTCATCTTAGACGATGTTACTTCAGTTCCAGACTTGTGTTTAAACCCACAGCTTTCTAACACAGATGAGAGAGTGCCAGCACTGAGCCAGGCTATCACATGCTGTACATTGCCCTGTAACGTGCAGATGGTGCTGAGTACCTTTACTAATCTCTTTTTTGAGCAATAAAACAATTCACTCTACCCTATACAGTTCATCTTACAATATGTATCTTGCACAGCCAATTATAGTTTAAGCGCTCTGGGACGCTGCCCTGCGTGAGCGGTGCTATATAACTGCAAGTTGTTGTTGTAGTTATTTCTCTTCCCCAACCACTCAGCTTTCTATCCATCATCAGACGAAAATCAGTGTGAGAGTCCCACCTGCAAATTCAACCTTTCCTTTGATGTATTTCAGCAACCTGCCTAATTCCACTGTTTTAAGTGCTTCAATCTCGTGTATGTACTCTTTGAACCCTCATTTAAGTAATAATCAGTGAAACGTTATCAATGCAAACAGGCAATGTTGCCTTTTATGGATATTTTCAGGTAATATAACTGGGTGTTGGACTCTAGACTTGGAATCAAAAAGATCAGTCAAGTTACACTGACCTCCTTAAAAGTCAACGACATGAGAGCCATCTTAACAAAATCATATTTGCTTATGGGGAAAGAGAACGAAAATGGAGGGATTCAGTCGAGAAGGTTATGGTTGAGCATCAAATCTGATTTTCCACACAGTGAAAGCTAGTGACCAACATTTCAGAAAGGTCCAGCTTTTCCTCACCATCTCCAGGTCCACAATAAACTGAAATTCTGTGTTACAGGGATGAACTTTAAACCAGCGTTAGGTATTCTGTGGAGCTTCAGCTACGAAAAAGGACGTCTCAGAGAAGACAAGGAAACAATAGCCAGAGCAACAATATAGCGTCCTTCACGTGGTAGGCATTTCTGTCACTTAAACAGCAGTGTGGTTGCTGAACTGAATATTATTTTGTCAGCTGAGGGTGTAGCACCCTCGAATACCCATCATCAAACAAAACAGTATTCAAACAACCATGAGATTTCCAAGCATCCCACCTACACATGGCAAATACAGAGATATATTTTACGAATTGAATGAGCATCCTCTCTCTGGAGGGTCCATCGCACTTAACTACTGCTGGAAAGTATTAGGTACAGGTTGGCAAGAGGCAAGGCTTGTGGGAGCCCAGGGTGTGTATTGGAGTAACTGCTGGAGTCTCACTAGCCAAACCGCAAGATGGAGGGATGAGATAGTGGCTCACAAAGGTTTCTGCTCAGCTCCTTACGCCAGTGTGGAAGGCAGAACAGGCCATTCAGCCCGTGCAGTCAGGCTGCTGCTAATATTCCACAGGAGGGCCCATCGTTGATCAGTAATATTTTGGATTAATCAAGTTCACGAGTAGATACTGGAGAACATTTCTCCCTCAAATGATGTCACGATGGTTAGTTAAATTAATCGAACAAATTACATTTGGTTTATTCCTTGATCACTGGCTCCAGCTTACTTTAATAGCAGTAAGCTTTCACTAACTACAAAACCACAACAAGTCGATTTATCTTGTGCTGTTCGCAAGGAGTGGCATCTCCAACCGCTGAAAAAGGGGAGTAACTTTACGGCTTTACTTCATCCACAATTAGAGCTAATGAGAGACTCACCGACTTGTCTCCCCACTGACTGAGCTCCGGTTCCTGCCTCTGGTTCCCGAGCCTCTCAGTGATGTGCTTCAGTGCTCTGGGCTGTACAGTAATAACACACCCTGATCACAGTCCAGCAGCTAATGTCTGGCAGTAAATCATAGCCAAGCCCTGTTCCCTAGGATATTTCCTTGGAAACTGAATGTTTACCTGCTATAAAAAGTTCCACTGGTCGGGGCTCAGATCCCAAAGCATCAATTTAAGACAGAGAGATCGCAAATTAGCAAATCAGGAGGTTTGGAGAATATGTTGTCCTACACATTTGGTTGTTGGGTTATGGAAAGCCCTGGCGGGAAGGGTGTTGAGGCAGAATCCAGATTGGTTTTCAAATCATCACTAGATACCGATCTAAATTGGGAGAACTATCTAAAACGCGATTTGGGAAAAGAGCAATGTAAATCGGACTGAAAGAATTGGCAAAAAAACAGTCACCACAGCCATCCTTCTTCTGTGCTGTTCGTCTCGATGTTTCTTTGTTCGTGGGTGTTGCTCAAAAGGTTGGATTCAGGGATTTTCTTAAAAAAAAACTATTTAGTAAAGGAAGGAAAAAATATATTGGATACGCCCTTTTTTTATTCTGATAAATGTTGTGAAATTTCTCTCATTTTCTCAGTTTCCTCTCAAACACTCTCTCTGTCCTCTCTCAATCATTGGCTCGCCCCTCTCGCTCCGTCTCACAGACACTCTTTCACTCTCTCAATTCCTCTCTCTCTCTCTCTCACTCTCTCTCTATATCCCCCACTTCTCCCACGCACGATCTCCCTCCATGCACACTCCTTTTCCCCTCTCAAAGTCTCTCTGTCTACGCTCTCTCGATAACTCACTCCTCCTTTTCTACCTGCTCTCTTTCACAAACACTCTTTCCTCGCACAATCTTAGTCAATTTTTTTCACTCTCTGTCTCCACTTTTTCCCTCTGTCTCCATGTCTCTGTTTCTTTCTCTCACCATCTCTCTCACTCTCACCCCTTTATGTCAATCACTTCCACATCACACACACTCTCTCACTCAATAGGTCTCTTGTCGTCTCTGCCATAGAGTCACTCACTGCCACTCTCTCATCGCTTTGCTTTTTCCCTCTCTTTCCCTCCCTGGCTCTGTTTCTTTCTCTCACCCCATCCTCTCTCTACCACTCTCGCTGATACAGAGCAATAGTTGGGAATCTGTTTTCACATCCATCATCAGACAAACACCATCGTGTCTTTGCCACCTCCCACTTCAAATATACATTTTGATTCATTTCAACAACCCGCCCAATTCAGAGCATCCTCTGCGCTCTCTACCTAATCTCCTGATCCTGATCTTTGAACCCCATTTGTGTAACAGACAGCGAAACGTTATCACTGCCAATGTGCAGTGTTGCCTTTTATGGATAATTTCAGTTAATGTAACTGTGGGTTAGGCTCCGGACTTGGGACCAGGAGGATAGTCCTTGAAAGTCAACAACTTGAGCACCATTTTGCCAAAAATCGGTTCCACTTGCGGAGAAAGAGAAAGAAAATGGCGGCATTCAGTCCGTTTGATTGTAGACTGAAACATAATTTAGTCTTAATTCCTCCAGGGTAAAGCAATTGAGAACCATTCAGCCTCTATAGCGTCTCCATATTCGGAGCAGGCTGGTCTCTCGAATTGGAGGGATGTGTCTTAAACTATCGTTGGACAAACTGCGCCCAACAAAAGAGACGTCTCAGAGGAGGAAATAAAAATAATAGCACCAACTGCAAAAGTGCCCTTCTCGTGGGTTGCAGCTTGGAGCATATCAGCAGCAGTGTGGTATCTGAGCTGAATTCTTTTGTCAGCCGAGTATCTGTCCCACCGAAAACCGATCAACAAACCGAACATGATCCAAAACAAAGCTGAGATTTTCATACATCCCAAACTACATATGGAAACTCCAGAGTTAGATGGCTGGAATGGAATGAGCACCATCCGTCTGGAAGGACCACTCTGCTCACTTAATTCGGAGAGAACTAGGAGCAGGTTGGCAAGAGTCAAGGCTGCGAAGACCAGAATGTGTGTTGGGGTAACTGCTGGAGTCCAACCAACCAAAACCGCAAGGTGGAAGGATTGAGGCAATGGCTGACAAAAGCGTCAGCACACTTCCTTAAGGTAGTGCAGAAGAGAACAACCAGGATAATCACAAATATAGAGGAATGAACTATGAACAAGGATGGAACAAGTTGAGGCTCTTGGATTCATAGATACATAGAAATTACAGCTCAGATTCGGCCCGATCGCCTGGCTGTTGCTTAAATTCCACATTAGTATGTTAACAATGGTTCAGATCAATCAAGTTCCCAATGGATTTCGGAGACCATTTATTTCTTAAACGGTTCTACGATGATTAATTCAAATAACAGCAACAACTTCATTGATATAGCGGCCTACACGCCGGACAGTGTGTCGGAGAATGTTGGAGTGGTGGAGGACACTATGTGTGAGGGAGGGAAGAGGTGACCGTAATCAAAGTCGTAAAGCGAGATCTTCCGTTTATGAAACAAATGATATTTTAACTCTCGCTCATTCGGTTACTCATGGTTTCTTTAATTACAATAAATGTTGCAGGAGCAACAACAACTTGCATTTATATGTTTTTTTCTCTCTGTGCGCTTACAACCTGGGATAATAGTATGACATTATTTCAGCCACAATCAGATCTAATAAGAGACTCACCTTCTTGTCTCCCCGCTGACTGAGCAGATGTTCCTGCCTTTGGTTCCCGAACCTCTCAGTGAAGTGGCTTCAGTGTTCTGGTAACAACAAACCCTGATCAGAGTCCAACAGCTAATGTCTGGCAGTAAATCATAGCCAAGCCCTGTTCCCTTGGAGATTTCTACAGAAACTCATGTTTATCTGATATAAAAGTCCTTCTGGTCAGAGTTCAATCCCTGAAGCATCAATTTCAGAGATTTAGCAAACTGGCAAATTGGGATGTTTGGAGAATTTGTTTTCCTGCACAGTTGGTTGCTGGGTTATGGAAAGCACTGGCGGGAATGATGTTTGAGGCAGATTCCAGATTGGTTTTCAGATCATCACTTGAAACCGATCTAAATGGAGTCAACTATCGAAAAAGGGATTTGGGAAAAGAGCAATGTAAATGGGACTGAAAGGATTGGCATTAAAATAGTCACCACAGCCATCCTTCTTCCGTGCTGTACATTTCGATGTTTCTTTGTTCGTGGGTGTGGCACAAAAGATTGGATTCGGGGATTTTTTTTTAAACAAACTGATCAGTACGGGAAGAAAAAAGCAAATTGGAGACGCCCGGTTTTATATTTTGTTCAATGTTGTGAAATTTTTCTCTCATTTTCTCTTTTTCTTCTCACACACTCTCTCTCTGTCCTCTCTCAGTCATTGGCTCCCCCTCTCGGTCTGTCTCACAGACACTCTTTCGTTCTCTCAATTCCTCTCTCTCTATCCCACTCTTCTCCCACACCAGCCCTCCCTCCACTCACACTTCCTTACACCTCTCAAGGTCTCTCCGTCTACGCTCTCTCGATAACTCACTCCTCCTTTTCTCCCTCCTCTCTTTCACAAACACTCTCTCCTCCCACAATCTTATTCACTTTCTTTCACTCTCTGTCTCCATATCTCTGTTTCTTTCTCACCACCTCTCTCCCTCTCACCTCCTTTCTGTCAATCGCTTTGCCCCTCACATTTCACTCACATTCTCACACACACTCTCTCACTCAAAACTATCTCTTCGCCTCTGTCGTGCAGTCACTCACTGCCAATCTCTCACCGCTTTGCTTATTCCCTCTTTCCCTCCCAGTCTCTGTTACTTTCTCTCACCCCATCATCTCTCTACCGCACTCTCTCTCTCCCTCTAACACACACACACTCCTTCTCACACTCTCAATCACTCACTCACACTTTGATTTTTCTTCCCCCCCCTCTCTCCCTTTCTCTATTTCTTTCACTCATCTACTCTCTCTCTCTCTCTCTCTCTATCATTCTCTCCCTATTCCTGTCAACCATTCTTCCTTCCAACCTCTCCCTCTCAATTCTGATGCGCACTCTATCTCTTCTATCCTCTCATTGCATGTGCTTAAAACCTGGAGTAACTTTACTGTTTTATTTCAACCACAATCAGAGCTGATGAGAGACTCACCAACTTGTCTCCCCACTGACTGAGCTGCGGTTCCTGCCTCTGGTTCCCGAGCCTCTCAGTGATGAGCTGCAGTGTTCAGGGCTGTACAGGTAATAAAACGCCCTGGTCAGAGTCCAGCAGCTCATGTCTGGTAGTAAATCATAGCCTCGCCCTGTTCCCTTGGAGATTTCCACAGAAACTCAATCTTTACCTGCTATAAAAGTTCCACCGGTCGAGGTTTAGTTCTTAAAGCATCAATTTAAGACAAACAGATAGCAAACTAGTAAATGAGGAGGTTTGGAGAATATGTTGTCCTGCGCATTTGATTGTTGGGTTGCGGAAAGCTCTGGCGGAAGTGGTGTTTGAGGCAGAATCCATATTGGTTTTCAAAACATGTCTTCATATCGATCTAAATGGAGTGAACTATCTACAAATAGATTAGGGAACAGAGCAGGGAAATGGGACTGAAAGAATTGTTATAAATGTGGCACCACATTCACCATACGCTGAATACTCTTCGTCGGTGCTGTACATCTATATAGTTCTTTGTTTGTGGGTTTGGTACCAAAGTTTGGCTTCAGGGATTTTTGAAAAACTAAACAGGAAAGGGAGAAATAAACTTATTGGAGATGCCATTTTTAAAAAATATTGTGTGAAATGTTATGGATTTTGTCGCTCATTTTATCTCTGTCTTCTCACAGTCTCTCTGTATCACTCTCTCAATCACTCTCTGCCCCCTCTCCTGTTGTTTCTCTCACACATTCCCTCCCTATCTCAGTTACTCCCTCTCACACACCCTTTCTCCCCACACGACAACACCCCTCTCACAATCTCTTTCCCTTCTCACACTCCTTCTATCTCACCTCTCTCTATCACTCACTCCCATCTTCACTCTCCTCTTACGCAAACATATTCTCCTCCCACACACTCAATCATTCTCTTTTCCTCCATCTCTGCTTTCTCCCTCCTTGTCTCTGTTTCTTGCTGTCGCTACAACCCCATCCCCCCCACACACTCCCCAACCCGTCTTTCTCTTTCACTCCGTCCACCATTTCGGTCAATCACTCTCGCCCTCTTTTCTCACTCACCCTCTCACACGCTGTCTCTCTTCTATCAGTTTGGGTATCAATCAATCTGTCTCCCCCTCTGTCAAACACTCACTCATTGCCTCTATATCACTTCTTTGTTTCTTCCATTCCCTAAATTTCGCGGTTTCATTCTCTCACCCCACACTCACTCTATCTCTCTCTTTACTCCATGTCCATCCACCCCTCTCCCCCCACTGTCTCTCTCATTTCTTACAAACTCTCTTCTCTCATTCTCTCACAATCATTCTCACTCACTGCCCCTCTCCACCACTCTCTCAACACACACCGTCTCACAATCTCACTCACTCAGTCACTCACTGCTTCCACCATCTCTCTCTCCCTGAATCTGTTTCTTTCTCTTATTCCCATTCTCTCTCTTACACACTCTCCCCTATTTATTTAAATCGGACTGTCTCTCGTTTCTCAGGCGCATTCTCGCTCTCTCTGTCATACTCTCATTCTTTCTCAATTTATTATGTTTCACTTCTGTTACGCATTCTGTCAAGTGCACTGTGATTATACGATGCAAAAGTTGCACTACATAAAGCAATTGTTGCTGTCTATGTTAATACAACAATAATTTCCACCTCCACTTCAAATTCACCTTTGATTCATTTTAACAACCCTCCCTATTTAGAGCATCCACTGTGCTCTCTGTCTAATCGCCCGATCGTGATCTTCGAACCTCATTTGTGTAACAGTCATTTAAACGTTATCATTACCAATATGCAATGTTGCCTTTTATGCATATTTTCAGTTTATATAACTGTGAATTGGGCTTCGGACTTGGGACCAGGAAGATAGTCAACAACCTGAGCAATATTTTCTCAAAAATCATTTCCATTTGTCGGAAAAGAGAAAGAAAATGGCGGCATTCTGTCCGTTAGAATGTAGACTGTAACATAATTTAGTCCTATTTCATCCAGTGTAGAAGAAGGTGAGAACCATTCAGAAATATGCCATCTTCTCTGTAGTGTCAATATATTCGGAGAAGACTGATCTCTCGAGTTGGAGGGATAAGTTGTAAACTATCGTTAGATAATCTACGGAGGTTCACCCAGGAAAAGAGACGTCTCAGAGGAGACAATAAAATCAATAGCAACAACAACAATACAGTGCCCTTCACGTGGGTAACATCTCGGAGCACTTAAGCAGCGGTATGATTTCGTAGCTGAAATTTTTTGTCAGCCGAGTGTCTGTCGCACATGAAAACCGGTCAACAAACACTGTGAGTCTAACCAACCAAAACCGCAAGATGGAAGGATTGAGGCAAAGAATGACTAAAGAATCAGCACAGATCCTTAACGCAGTGTAGAGGAGAGCGACCAGGATGATCACCAGTGTTAGAGGAAATAAATATGAACAAGGATTAGACAAGCTGTCGCTCTTAGATTCATAGATGCATAGAAAATATAGGCTATTCGGCCCAACTGTCAGGCTGTTGCTTATACTCCACATCTGTATGTTCACAGTAGTTCAGATAAATCAAGTTCTCCCTATGGATTTTGGAGACCATTTATACCTTAAACCGTATTAAGGTGATCTGTTCGAATAACGACAGCAATTTGCATTGATATAAACATCATAAATATAATCTTACAGAGCTGGGGGTCAAACCAGACGCCAAGATTGTGCACTGGTTCAGTGAATCTGAGGGAGAGCCCATGGAGTTTGAGGAGCTCAGATCCGCGGGAGTGAATACTTTGAGAGTCAAAGAGTATGGCTTCCATCTTGTCCTCATTCAGCTGCAGGAAGTTTGCTTTCATCCAGGCCACGATGTCTGCCAGTCATGATGATGGAACATTCGTGGACCTGCAGTCGATACTGGAGAAGACAAAGTAGATTTGTGTACCATCAGCATATATGTAGACGTTTACTCCATATCTGCGGATGATATAGCCCAGAGGGAGCATATAGATGAGGAAAAGAAGAGGGTCAAAAATGGAGACCTGGGGTTACCACAGGTTTCGCCCTCTGCCTGGAATTGAACTCAGATCTCTCGCTTGCAAAGCGAGTGCTCTAATCACTGAGCTACAGGACTCCAAAACTACACGTGTAGTTCTGTTATTGTTGTTGTTGTAAAGGCTAACCTTGAGATGTTCAGGTTGTCGCTGGTTTCTTTCTTCCTCAAAAGCTGACAAACCAACGGGATTGTCATGAACAGTTTCCACAAGATATTTGTCCTTCACATTGAGGGTGATGTGAAATCCAGAAGCCACAATAAACCCGCGATTCAATGTCACTCCAGCGCTTGGCTCTCTGTGCGCATGTGGTGATGGATCAAGACGCATTGAATCGCGGAAACTGT